TCCAACCATCATGAGGCTATCTAAATGAGCATTTGTCATAACAGAACGCAAATTATTTTTAATTAGTCTCATTGAATTATTATTATTATTATTATTATTATTATTATTATTGTTATTGTGGTTGTTGTCATGAAAAGTTAACACGAACGATATGGTGGCTAAACGAATATTACATGTAAATATTTTTTTTTATTTGTTTGTTCCCCGACAAAATTTATCGTCTTCCCCGACGAGGGGGGATATGCTTCCCCGACGGGGGGGGGGGGCTATAGCCCCCCTGCCCCCTCTGGCGCCACCCCTGATTACTGATTCTTTGCAGATGAAATCATTATCATAATGTGTTAAATGCTTGGGGTACACCACATAGATCGTTCTGTAAAGAATTGCTTTCGTTGAGAGTGTAATGACGTCTCCATTGAGTTAATATCAGATATTATTCTTCTGATCAAGATTGAAGTAGCTCAATCGAAACGTCGAGGCATTCTCAACAAACATATTGCACACTGTAAAACAGAAAATAGCATATCTCTTGCATACATACCAACAACAATAAAATGGAGTTGACATTCTTTAGAGTTACCCGATTCGTCAGTTGCTCTTATTGTAGTTGAGTATGGCGGGAACATATTCATTGGGTACACGTCACCGCTATCCGCTATTATCCCTTGCAACCAATGGAGTCCATGTGATTGTGCCATTTGGACTTCCTTTGTCGGTGGATGCATAAATGACACTTCCGTAATTCGTTGTATAGTAGTTAGATGTTCTATTTGGACACTGGAGTTGCGGTGGCTCGTTATCTACAATTAAAGGATCGGAAAGTACAAGGGGCTCGTATGCGAACGGAATCATATTATTTAGATCGCGCTTTAGAGAGAACATCTCATTATATAGAGCAGGGACGTAGCCAGGATTTTGAAAGGGGGGGGGGAGCTGTTATGCGAATTACGTATGACCCCGGCGGGGTCCATGGGGCGAATTCCCCTGTGAAGTAGCGCAATCTAAACGTTCTTAGGACTGTTTTGAGAGGATAAAGTGAAAATTGCAATATAAATTGCATTATAAATAAGTGCAACAATAATTATATAATAAATCAACAACCTGATCCAGGAATTCGAAAGAGAGGTGAACCAGGGAGGGACTTTCACAGACCAAGGAACCAACCACCCCAACCACGGTGGGGCTGAGGTTAAACAAATTAGGATTCTTTTTTTTCCTTAAAAAATAAAAATGAGGGGGGGGGGGGGTGGCATGCCTTGAATCCACCTCTGCTCAAAACATTCTTTATCCAGAATAGTCATAATCACGAAAAATTGACATGAAAAACAAGATCACATCCTAAAAACATCAGGAGCCGACTCGATAGAATTTAATGTCATACCCAGGGAAGGGCACAGATCTGTTTTGAAAGGTGGCGGAGGAGGACATTTTGTGAGTCAACACGCACCTCCGACCCACCATGGTTGGAGCTGAGGTGAGAAAATTTGAGGAAACAGTACCTCTAGATTGACGTTCCGCAAACTATGGTCCGCGGCCCAAATTTGGCCGCGAAACATTTTTAGAGGGCCGCGAAGCCGTCTGGAAATTGAAAAAAAAAATAAAAAAGAGACGTTTTATCATGGAGAAAATAGTTTTTAATAAAGCCGCTTCGCTGTTACAGCGAATGAGTCGCTTGCACACGCTGCTAAAGTACCAGATGATGTGTGCTATTTGAATTATAAGCGGTTTTGTGTC